TTACTGCAAGGTGTATTTAGCATTAACTGCTAATAAAAGTACATCCTGATGTTTGATCAGGAAGGAGGGAGTCTATATTTAAAATGAGTGACCTTGATTTAAAAGGATGAGTAGTTTCATTGGAAAATGAGGGCAAACTGAATGCATCTATGCAGTTCACAGTCATGCTAACAAATGTGAAAGGTAGTGACTACATTAATAAAACTCCTAACTGTTATTTCAGTGACTTGAGATTCATTGTTTGTGGAGCTRTATCTAGAAAGACAGATGGAATCTGTCTTGCTTCTCGTCTGTGTTAATGTCCATTCTTAATATAGAATGATGCTCTTTAAAAAAAACCAAACAAAGGAAGACCAAACCAAAACAATCTAGCAGTGAGAACCTGGATAGTAGCACACCTATATAAGGCTGCAGTGCAGGAAAGGAATGTGAGGAGGTGGGGGGAAATCCTTAACTATGCAGAGATACTCTAAACAGGAAGACTTAAATGTTTTTATTATGATGGAGAGCCTCAATAATCTTTATTAGACTATATTTAATCTACTATTTAATATTATAAATTGTAATAATACTTAATCTATTTACTCTGCTTTGAGTAACTGTCTCTGGATTCTAATATAACTATAATTCTTTTGAGTTTGCCTGTTAAAAGTCACCTTCAGAGGAAGGTCATGTGGCAGTGTGAAGGCTAGTAGAAAACATGGGAGTCTAAATACTTGCATTGAGCTGATTGTCAGGCTAGACATGGTGTAGTTCTAATTCAGTTTTAAGAAAACTAATTTGTATTTCAGCATTTACGTATTCAGATCCGACAGGCTAACTTTTACTTTTTTCCCTCTGTTTTTAAAGGTTGCTGAATCACTAGGAATTACAGAAATACTCAGTGGACAACAGAAGATGCAAGGTGCAGGCTCTTGTTCACAATGTGTAATTAAAATGGTTAGTGAGCAAGTGCCTGTGGACATACTGGGACAAAAACGGTTAGCTGAGGTATGGAATACCTTTGTGAAAATTAAAAATTAAACTAAGGCAAATTTAAACCATTTAAAACACATATTCCTTACAAAATCATGTTACTGGTATCTGAGTTGTGTTAAAGTAAGGCTTTCTGGTGTTCAGAAATACTAAAAGTACTCTGTGCTGTGGTATCGTAGCAGGGCATTTGAACTACCACACTAAGTATGTGCTTTGGGAAGACACTTGGTGTTGTGCAGGAGAGAGTATCAAAGGCTCAGGCAAAGTCATGATACAGGGACAAAAGAACTTTGTTGAGGTGCTAGTAACTGGGGGCCCCACAGATTCCAACCTTTGTTAGAGGAAATGGCCTAACCCAGAGCAGGCTTGGATATTGATATTGCAGTGGTAATTGGTGGTGGATAGAGGGGCATGAAAACAGTTTCTGACTAGTCAGTTGACAAGCTTCACTGTGTTTACTGCTGTAGCAGAGGGCTGTATTTCTTCTCCTTGGAGTTTTGGCAAAGTGTGAGGGCTGTGTTTAAATCCTTACCTTTTAGGAAGACCTTGGTTCACTGCCATGATGTTTCCATGATAAACAATTTTTTCCAATACTGTCAACTGTTACAGGGGCAGCAGTTAATCATCTCTTATATTGGCAGAGCTCWGGGGAAGAACTGTTGCCACCAGCCAAAAGGACCAAGTTAGAAGATGTAACAGAGAATTTGAACAATGCTTATGCCAGTCRAGATGAAGTGAAAGAAAAGAGTGGGAATTTGTGTACGCTGTTTGAAAAAGATGGTAACTTCTTCAGATTTTCCAGTTCTGTTTTGTTCATGGAGGAGCTGAAAAAAAAAATCKTTGCTCTTCAAGCTACTGTGGATTTTGTCTTGAAGTTTCGTTTCTTAACTTGCTTCCCAGGTCCTTCAAAAGCAGCTGTTTAACTAGAAATGCCTCATGAGGAGGGCAAAKTTACAGATGACAGCAGTAGCTCAATTCTGGATGCATAATCCAGTTATTGATAGTACTTRTGAGCATAGTACTGTCCTCTGCTGGATGCTTCCTGTCTGTCCTATCCCTCAGAGTACATGACCATTGTGTCAGCTGTGGGAGAGCAGAGGAAGAGGAAGCAGAGTGCATGTCCTTCCTCCTGGCCCTAGCCAGCTACAATAGCAGAATTACCAGAGCTTTGTGGATCTTGTGGGGGAAAGGGAGAGCTGGTATAGGCTGTCCTGTATCTATTGGAATACATCTTGTATTGGAATTGAGGTACCTTTCTTTTTGTTCCTTCTTCATCTTTCATCCCACTGTATTAGATTAGCAGGCTAACAGCGAAAGGAAAGTAAATCTCTAGCACGATATGTCTATCAGTACCATCCTCTTTGTAAATACCTTGTTTTGGTGTTGCTGTTAAGTGGCTTTGCTTTTGCTCTTTGCATGTCTTTCAGTCARTGGTTATTTTTGTTTTCCTCCCTTTGTTTTCCTTTCTCTGAAAGGTTCTCTGCATGACCATGCTTACTTCTTGCTGCACTATTTTCTTCTGGGCTATGAATTTTTAAAATGATATTTTGCTTGCACCTGCTAATAGGGCATTTGCTAGTCTACATTGCAAAAAGTTAAAAATAGTCCTTTCTGCAATGTTAGGTCTCCTTTGTTGTGCAGTGATATCTTTCATAACAAAAAACCCGCAAAACCAAACCAACCTACTTATTCCTTTTGACCTTTAATAAAAAAGACTGACAGCTCATACTACTACAGCTTAGTAGTTATTGTTCAAATAACTTCAGGGTTTGGAACCTGGCTCTTGGTCCAGGTCAAGTAACTGGTAGAACATTATACTTGTTTTTACTAAGAAAGTACTGCTGGGGCTCTTAGCACAGCTAATACRTAGTAACCTGATAACATACCTGAGTGCAGGATGAGCACTGTAACTGTAACAGAACTGTAAACAGAAGTTCAGAAGCTTCCATCAGCTTTCTGATGGTGATGAGGATGAGCTGCTGACAAGTTTGTGCCTGGTAAAGTCTTTTACCTTTTAATGTTACTGGCTGCAGGACAGACGGAAGAAAATTAAGTTTGACTTTCAGYCCAGGTTGATTTCAGGATTAATAGAAAAATGCTGTCTCAATGTAAGGTCTCTTAGTATTGAAATATCACTATTGATAAAATATCACTATTCAAAAATTCCCTGAATATTTTTATACTCACTTTCCCATTGGGAAATTGCGTGAAACTACTGTAAGGTGCTTCAGGTTTGCTAATTTGGAGGAAAGAAGGCAGGGAAGTAGTCTAGCTTTTCCTCCAAAAGTATTTCTSATAAATAATTGTTAAACATGCAGTATTAGATTCCCCAACAAAATAATATTTATTTCTCCCTTTTAGGTTTTAATCCATTAAATGGTGACATCCTGCTTTCAGAAGAYAGGCATATCACTTGCTGCACACCTGGAAGTACATTACAGACAGCAGAAGAACATAATTCACTTGCTGATTCAGGTGTTAGAATCGATGGTGGAAATTCAGGTACCTTCTCCCAAAGTGCTGAAATGAGGATAGAGTATCCCCAGCCTGTGAGCATACAGGGACCAGATGTGGCAGGTGCTGCATCTCTGCTGCACACTGAAGTCGTGCTGCCTGTYGAAGCAGGTGGCTCAGCTGGGCTGGTTCAGGCGCGCTTTGTGAGTGGGACTGTGCTGGGGGCACTGGCAGCTCCTGAGCTCCGCAGCTCCGTGTCGGAGCAGGCAGTGGGCAGTCAGAACACTGGCCAACCAACGAGTGAAGAAAGTGGTCACAAACCAAAATATCAGGAACTGCAAGAGGAAAACCCTAATTTTGCAATTAAAGAGCATTCTGAGCAACTTCATAATGCTGATATGACTGATGAGATACAGGAACTTGAAAAAGTTTTTTCAACAAACATTGTGCCAATAAACTACCCCCACAGTGCTCAGGCTGAGTCGCACCAGAACGCTGTCCAGGGAGCTTCCCTGTCCACTCATGGGAACCAGGAAAACACTTTTAAAAACGAGAGTGAATATTCTTGTGGGACAGAGGAAGCACACGATCTGGCGAATGCAGTTACTGTGGATGAAACTGTAGCTTTTGAGATTTCTGATGAGAGCCATGATTTTTTGTCTCAGGGACACGAACAGATTTTTATTCAGACTTCAGATGGGCTTATCTTGTCTCATCCAGATACTGCTGTTTTGTCTCAGGCAGAAGGCATCGTTATTGTGACTGATTCCAATGGTACTACAATGCACATTCGCACTCCTGAAGGGATACCTTTGGAAACAGTGGAAGCACTACTGGCAATGGAAGCAGGTGGCCAAAGTGAAGACATTTTGCTCTCGCAAARTGAATTGGAGCCATAAATTAAAAACCCTATAAGGTTTCCTCTGGAAAAGACTGATTATAAAATGTATATTTTTCTAATGTGAATACTGAGATAATTGAAATTTAACTTATTTGTAAACTGTTTCTATGCCCTGTACTTTTTATAACTTATGTTTATATAAATCTAGCAGCATTGCAACCAAAAATTCTAGAATTAACATTGTTCTATTTGCTTTGTATGTTGGGGATGGGTGGAAAGTGGAAATCTTGTCAACCCTAAAACTTGCACTGTTCCCTTTTGTTACGTAATTCCTTTTCTCTCTAGCCATCTAAAATGCAGTAAGTTGTACTGCTGTTCAGCAGTGATGTGCTGTGTACTGGCAAGCTGTGTATGGGTAAAATAAAAGCTGTATTAAAAATGTGCATTTTCTGTGCCACTGAAATTACAAAACAGTTACTGCACTTTTTAAAAGCTTTCTTGAATATTCATTAGCATCTAGACTTGATGCACATAAACCTGCCTGGAAAACTGGGCAGTTTTAAGATAATCCAAACTCGTGCATTCTGGGAACAATGTGACAAGCCTGGCTGATCCTTACTAAAATAAGCATTCATGGAGTGAGGGACAAAAATAGCCTCAAATGAAATCTGATTTGTACTGAATGGTTGGAAATGTATTTAAGTTGCTTGGCTTATGTTCAGCCCAGCCACACCTTTAAAAACTCTGTTACTTAGACATAAATGGGAAAGTGCATGAGTAGTGATCTAATTTTTCTTAATGAGGTACCGAATTCTTTTTCTGCTTTAGTCTGTCATGACCTATTTCTGTTAGAGTGATATTAYACTTTGTTTTTCTTTCAGATAATGCATCCTTTATCAGTTCTACACTTTGACCTTCTTAGTAACTCCACACTACCTTGTACTGTTTAATCATAATACAAAGGGACTGTTTCTCTAGGCAGGGACAAAACTTGGTAAACTACTTGAATTTTTGTCATACTTTCAGTATGATCCTTGGCTCATATTATATTTTTGTGGAGACCTAGCAGCATCTTGTTCTAGACACTGTCCTTTCAAGAAGTTTTAACAAGTGAAGAACAGCATTAAATGAATAGACATTACTGAAAAGTGGTAACGTATMTTTAAAATGTGTTTCACTCATTGCTGAATAGATGGAACTACTGGGATAATCTGCCAAGGATAGAAGAACAGCTCTTAAGTATGAACTCTTTATTTTCTTCACAGTATTGTTACTGAAGAAAAACACTAAAATCAAATCTAAGCAAAAGAAGACAATTCACAGATCAAATAAACTGCTCTACTATGTCCGTTTAAACATAGTTGGATTAGGGTTTTTTGTTTGAGTTTTTTTTTCCTTTGGTTGCCTAAGTGGAAGGTGAATTAGATTAGCCAAAACATTGCCTTTTGTGTGTCATTGTGAAAGGTACTGTAAATTAATGAGTTATTAATGAGTTACTATATGTTTTGGGTTTTTTTTCCTTTTTTAGGAGGTGGTAATTGCCAAAAGATACAGACCTACCTTGTAAGTGAAGGTAGCATACAAAGCAGAGTTCTGCTGATCTTTCAAAATATTTGATTGCAGTGAGCAATTCTTCATGATACTCTTTTGTACCGACTGTCTAATAATTACATCTGAGGGCCACAAATATAACAATCAACTGCTTAGAGCTAGAATGACAAAACACCTCTGCAATGATTTTGCAGTAATCTTCCTGTGTCCCACAGCAGTCAATAAGCAAGAGGGTCTGTGAATATGAACACCCCTTCCTGAAGAGCTTTCCTCTTAAGAAACGAGAACAAACCACAATTTCTACCTGTGCAGAAAATGAAAATTTGCTTCAATTTTGCCTTCCCTATCAATTTGCACATGCTGGGAAATACAATACACCTACTCTCATCTTAAAAGAACAATTCTATACATGAACCAATCTTACCTCCTTAGAAAATATTTTTGAAGTATGGAGATGTTTCCATAGTGACACAGGTCTGGCCCTACTCAGATGAAGGTGGCTGTTAAACTAGGTGGAACACTTCCACTGAAAAAAATAGCAAAACCCAACAAATCTGTTCCTAACTGTACTCTCCTTGAGCTACAGCAGAATTTCTTTTTAGATGCTGGAACTGTGGGCTAAGAATAGAACTCTTACTAGCTGCCAGAAACAATCTAATTGTTCAACAAAGCAACATTTCAAGAAAACTTTTCCAGTTCCTGTTTGTCTCTCCTGTTACTGCAAGAAACTGCTKTATTTCCCTTACCAACCTTACAAGGTTTCAGCTTGAAGCTAATTAGGTAAGTGACCCTCCCTATCCTACCACTATAGAGGGACACACCTTCAAACCAAAACCACTTGACATCAGTAACAGTAATACAAGGAAAAACTCACTGAGCCCTCTGACAGGGAGCAAACAATATGGGATATAGCCTTGGCTAAAGCATGTTTTACTCAAGAGATGCTTTCTTGAAACATCTCTTAAAGAAAAAATGAGATCATTAAAAGAGACAGGACCTTCTTATATAATGGCTATGGAATGCCGAGTTGTACTAAACCTTCCTCGGGTGCTGGTTCRGGCTTGGATCACTCTTCAAGGGTGATGTACCCAACAGCACCAGAATCAAAACCAAACCAGAATTTACCCTATTTTCTGCAACAGCATTTCAAAACCACATACCAAACCACRTGGATCCCTCTGGATTCTTTCTCTTGTGCTTTCCTTTCCTCCACTTACAAAGCAAATACAGAAACATTTGCCCTGTTAATTCATGCAAAAAAACCCCATGAAAGATCAAGAAGTGCTGAATTTCTACGGCAAGAAGGACCATGTTGGTATTTTATGCAGCCCATGGTTGGGAGGAAGTAGCATTTTTTGCTGTAGCTTCTATATGCATTGAATCCCTCCAAACCACCAAGCAGTGCTTACCTCTTTCTGATTATAGAGGACTTAGCCTCCTATCTGTATCTTCTCTGTTGCTCTTAAAAGATAMAGCAACCAAAACTACATTGTCCCTCACAGAAAAAGGAGTATCAGCTGAGACAAAATAAGGAATACAAACATAGAAAAATATTTTTAATAAGTTTTACAAAAAATCAACTTACTTGGTAAGCCTTGCAATTTGCCAATTCAGTTTCATGTAAGCATCACTAGAAGCCAGCCATGTAACATTTGGAATTCTAGCACTGCCTGTGTCCTGTTTCCAGCAGCATGGCTTCGAGGAGCAGTGTGCTGCTGTTCTCAATGTACGGCTGGTACAACCATGATGATAAATACACCATCATCAGATCCTGGTCAGCAGAATGAGCAATGCCTTGTACAATTGTTTGCTTGAGTTGTAATTCCTTCTTGTACATTTCAGAGAGCTTCAGAGAAACCTCATCTGCAATGGATTGAAAAACCAAACACATTGACCAGAACATTTCAGCAATTCTCTAAAAGCTAAATTATACTTGTAATATGCGGATCCTTAAAAAAACCCTACCTTACATAAGCTATCCCCAAATTTAGCCACCTTTTTTTTTTTTTTACAGCATTAATCATGTTTTTACATTAGAATATAAAATGCTAAACAATTTCCTCAGCCTTGRGATATATTTTACACACTTTCGATTATGACATGAGTCCCCATTTAATTATAGAGTAAGCAGTGGTATTGGTTCTCTGAACCCACTATAAAATTATCATTATGGCTATTCCTCAAATAACTGAAATTTGATTAAAAAATTTGGTAATGCTATCCTGTAATACTAGCTTCACCTTTCAGAGTCCCTCTTGATTTTAGCTAATCTAAAGGATGCCCTCACATGCTGTGATGCACTTCAGCAAAGCATGATCACCAATGAGTAATATCAATAGTGAAAAACAACAGGGAAAAAAACCCCAACAGATCAAAACTGGATTTATTGTAAAAACTAATACTGTTACTATTTATGCAGTAATAAAGGTAGAGGGGTTAAAATACATCTGTAATGTTTCATTGTTTGACTTCCTAAAAAGTAACCACATGAAGTATTTCTAAAGAGAGACTGATCTTGTGTTTCTAACTTAGCCTGAGCTACCACTGCCTTCAGAAGGATTTAGTCTTTCATGGAGTAGACAGCATCACTAAATGATTCAGTCACAATGGGTGTTTTGACAGCAGTTGTCTTTGTCATTCTTATTTTTTTAAGCTGGCAGAAACTAATACATGATTCCTGCTAAACTGTGGTAGTGAAGTAAGAAGCAGGGCTTCACAGGTATGATTTTCACTTCACAAAGAAGGCAGTTAGTTTGCATGCAATCAGGCTTCTCTTGAATTTAGACAGTTTTAAAACTGTGGTAATACGAATTGGGAGGCAGTACCTTTTGCCATCAAGTGAATGCTAAAAGAATTAATATTAACAGTAGACAGTAACATTTCTTTACTTGTCTTGACTGACGTTGAGATCAGAGGTATTTTTCTTTGGCTGCCTGAGAATTAACTGAGGTACAGCTTGCTCTTTGCATTCAAGGATTTAATTTCAGTGTCAAGTAACAAGTCAAGTACTTAAGCCTACAGCTTAACACCAGCAAGTTGCAAATACATCTCTGCTTGCGGAGGATGTGGCTGTTGCAGCTTGGACACTGTAAGCTGCTGACAAATTCAGTTCTATGCCGTAATTGTTGCATGTCAGACAATGCTTGGCAGTCATCAGCAGTAACCCTAAACCAAGTGGTGCATTCATGTGTTTATTGATTAGTCAATTGTAAAGGAGACAGCACTCTCTCCCTCTCAGRCAAGACATCCAGAGAAGAGGGCTTATTTTTCAGTCATAAATTAGATRACATTAATGACACAATGCAATTAGCTAAGATAAACAATATTTTACTTACAGAAGTATGGTGTGGGCCATGTATGAAAGAAGGGTGCTGTGCAATTCCCAGCTCCATGATGGAATGTTTCCAAGTCACAGATTGCTTTAGTAGTSGAAGTAAGCTTTTCCATTTTCAGTTGTATTTTTGTCTGAACATAGAATGTTAATGAATATCTCAGGAACATTAGGCTACTATAATCTTAACCGTTTTTTAAAAACACACTACTTATGAAGGTTATTTAGTATTATCATTTCTCACTCACATTTTTTTAACACCAGACAGAAATCAAAGCTGCAATCCATATAAAAATTTAATATGAGATRCCCTTAAATTTTGAACACTGCAGATGTGACTCTGATTTTGCACATTCTTTTGCTTCCCTCATGTAGAAACATACTAAAGCCCTCTTACTGTTTCACATCCCTAGTTTTTCCTATAGTGATAGAACCAGGGGAAGAACATCASACAGGTGTAGCACAGGCCCTATCAACATGTTATCTTACATTACCGTATCAAGATGACTTAATTTCAAAAGATCAGCAGCAGCTCAAGCTACTACTAACAATATATCTACRCTGATCTAACATCTTGCTTCAAAAACCAGGTCATTTTACCCACTTTCTTCATGCTCACCTGACTTTGTGCATTTGGGTATGAATATTTATTCCAAAATGGAGCTTGCAGGCAGTATCTTTAAGTTAAGCAGCTAAACCACAGATACATCTATGAATCTCTAAGCTCATACAAACTCATAAGGAATGAAAAATAAATTAGGTCATAGTAGCTATGTTTAGTATCCAATCTAACACTGGCTGCTTAGACTCCTGTTACTCAGGAAGAGTAAAAAATTGCATCAATGCATTTGCAGTCTGAATACAAAARTACCTCAAGGAAAAAAGATAAACTCCACACATTTTTCCCACAGAACAAAATCTGAGGGAAATCTAGCCAGTTTTCTGCTTTTTATTAGTAATGGAGGACTGTACCCTGTCTATATAAAAAAATAGATCTACYATCCTTTTAATGGGCCTCCACTTTGGCAAAAAGGCTGTAAAAGTTACTTTTAATAAGAATTTTAAATTACAGTATCAGGCAGAAAAAAAATTATTTGCTTCCTGTCAAACTGACAGGTGACATTAATTCCTAGCAATGTATCCAGAAAAAAAGGTGGRTTACATAATAATTATCTTACTCTACTCTCTAGAGAAGGAGATCTGCATAGTAAAAGCAGATAGGCAGGCTAAAATGATGACTGCATTATGTCTGATCAAAGACAGCTGCAAGGATATGATGGCAGGTGAAGCACTGCTTTATGCTTTGCTATTTCTTTTGTTCTAAACAGAGGGAATATCCAGGATGAGAAAACAGGTGCAGCTTTGGAATGCATTCTTTGTATGCTTTGTTTCCAGATCACTTTATAAAGGAAGGAGTAGAATTAGAAGCAGAATGCAGATGTAAAATCAATTTTCAGTTTTGTCAGTCAAGCAAATAAATGGTGCACTTTGAATTTATAGTAATTTAGATTTGAATCCAAAGAACTATGAACAAAAATCACAATTTTCTGTCTACAACAAATACTTTAGAACATTTCCTTGTGTTTCTTGAGCACACTTGGAATTGATTCATATTGTCTAAAACTGAAAAATGAGTATTACCATATGCTTCAAAGTCTCAAGTAATTCTGCACAGCAATTGTCCAGCTCTTCATTGTATTTTGGGGTTGGTTTTTCAGGTTCTGTGGCATTGTTATCACATACTATCTCCAGTTTGTTGCCTTGAAATCTAAAATAGAAACATAAGGCAGTGTAAACAACTGCATATAGGTTTACTTGAGCTGTGCARATTTAAAATCCTTGTGGTCAATCATACAAAATCTCTCTCACAGGCTATTCATGAGAATTGCTACATAAAAATAGCACAAAGCATAGCTGGCCATGTGAGCAAATGGGGCTAGTACCATAATCTTCAGAGAAAAATAGAACTACGCTACTTTAGAACATTTGCTTGAAAAAACACCTCCAGATGTTAAGACGACACCTTCTCCCACTTTAGCTTACCCTTGCACTGGAGGTTGYTCTCTCCTACTGGATGAGGCATGCCCAGGCTTCAACCGCCCCACATGACAATCTGGTGCTTCATCACAAACTCATCTTTGTGCACAATTTAAGCCACGACATTTATCTGTGACCCCAGAGCCAGTGTACAGACACCTGCCCTGTCTGGCAGATTCTCCCACACCAGCTGTAAATTTAGACCTGGGAGAGAGAGTTGCTAGAGAGCAAAAGCAACATCTGGCACCATTACAGCAAAATATTCCTCAGCTTGTACCTGTCAGAACCCTGTCAGATRAACTCTCTTCAGCTGTCAGGACTCTGGAGAAGCTGCTCAAAGCCCTATTAATTAAGGTTTTTCATTATAGCATAAAAATAAAAGCTCTACCAAAGCAGGTGTTTTTTTTCAGTTTTTTGATGGTTTTTTTTTTTTATTTTGTTTTGCTTTGGGTTTTTTTATGGTGGTTGTGTGTGGTATTGTTGTTAGTTCTTTGTTGGTTTTCTTTTAAATCATCACTGTTAAAACTTTTTGTCTGTACAAATCACTGATTCTTTCTTAAAATCTTCTGAATTTTTACTTGCAYGAAACTTGGTAATATTGTCTCATTGTAAAATATGCAAGAGAAAAACAGAACTCGCATGGGCTGAGGTTTATAGAATTAGATTTTAACTTGGTACCTTATAKAAGTATTTTAAATACATTACATTTGACTACGTAATATAAACATTTTCCATTTCTTTCAAATATCAGTACTGTATGAGACATTATTTGAATGTAAATAGTTTATGTAACCAAAAAAATGCAGCTGCTGAGTTTGATCTGAGCTGGCTTATCCACTGTGACATGTTCTTTCCTCATATCCAAAAAGAACTTTCTAGTGAAGAAAGCAGATTAATCTCTCAATAAAAGCAATCTTTRTGCTATCTTTACTCTTGTGTATTASCATACTTACTGTTCACTGATCCTCATGTTGACTATTTTGTTTGCTGTAGTGAATCCACAATCATTCAGTCTCTCCCATTTCATCATTAAATTATGCCAGTCTGCTGCATTATCTTTAATTTTTCTTGCACTGACAGATAAAACAGGCCTTCTTGGAGTACTATCAGAAGGACTTTTTGCTATATGAGAAAATAAAGATATTGAAGCAATTTAAAGCACACAGAAACACATCAATGTCCGGCAGCTACTTGTGTGAATTTCCTTCATTTACTGGTGAATATTGATTAAAGTAAAATGGAATTTACATTAACTGTCTTTGGTCATGAAATCAAATTCCTCATCTAATGCTATTTGCAAGAAAACCGTGTTACTAAACAAACGCAGGCACATTGTGAGATGTGACGTTGCAGCATGGACAGCAGTGGCTTTGCAGTGCTGGAAGATCCAGCAGTCTTCTGACGTCAAATGACAGTCAGATGCTAATGTGGTGTATGACAGAAAAAAATTGTGGCAGAAAGAAATCATGGCAGCAATGACTGTGCATGCATGCAGTGCTCATGTCATGAAGGTCAGAATTAATTCCCAGCAACATGCGAGCTGGAAGAGTTTGGGAGAAGGCTGGGTCCCGCTGAAGGCAGTGGGTGCTCTACTGCTGAGCACAGAACCCTCATTTCATGGTGTCTCCTTGGAGGCCAGCCAGCTGCTGGAAACCACTGCACATCCTCTGATCACACAAGGCATCCCCACCCCACCTTTGCACCTCAGGCCCTGTCCTGGCAGCCAAAACATGGCTCAAAGCCAAGCCAAATGCCCTGCCTGAATGTTTGCTGGCTTCAACTTTTATCCACAGAGATGCCTGAAAAGTGCTCTTATCAAAAACAGAATCATAGAATGGGTCCATGTATACGGGACCACACTGGGTCACCTGGTCCAACATTCCTGCTCAAGCAGGGTTATCCCAGAGTACATGGCACAGGACTGTGTCCAGATGGATCTCAGATATCCCCAGTAAAGGAGACTCCACAACCTCCCTGGTCAATCTGTTTCAGGGCTCGGTCACTGCACAGCACAGTTCTTCCTCACGTTTGGGTGGAGCTTCCTGAGCAGCAGTTTCTCCTGGGCATCAGCCCGTTGTCTCTTGTCCTGTTGATTGGCACCATCGAGAAGAGCCTGGCTCCATTCTCTTGGCACAACCTCCTTTAGATATTTATACACAGAGATRTGGTAACACAGCCGGGCACACACTATGGACCCCTGCTCCACCCGGGGCGTGAGCGAGGTGCTGGGCACGATCCACACCGGCGTGTGACAGTGGGAGCCCGGCGGGCTGACAGGGCACCACGGGCACATTAAATCGCCTTAGCTGATGAAAAAGCGCCGGGACCCTACTTCTGGCTGCTGCCCGCCACCCCCCGCGTTCGCTCCCTCCGGCTCCCCCCTCACTCACCCGCCATGGCGGCCCCACCGCCCCGCGGAAGTTCGCTCATGTCCGGCCCCGCCCAGCCCGGCCCCCGAGCGGCGCAGGCACCGGGGCCGCCGCTCCGACGCCTCGGGGCCCGGTGTTGCTGCTTCCTGCTGTCCTCTCTGAGCCGTCGCCCGCGCTCCGGAGCGGTGAGTGCAGCCACGTCCCCGTGGAGCCGGGGCAGACAGCTCAGGGCCGGCCCGGTCCCTCTCCCCTCCCTGGGCGCCGCAAGCGGGGCCTGCCGCGGGCGCCCGTTGCGGGCGGTGCTCCGGGCCGGCTGCTCCCGGGGCGCGGGCAGCGCTCGGTGAGGGGGCTCGGGGCGAGCTCCGGCGGGGCCTGGGCGGCTGTTACCGCCCACGGAGGGGCTGGAGGCGCCCTCCCCTTGCCGGTGCTCCGGGTATGGGTGATAAATCCGGCATAAGCCGCGGTAAAGCTGGCGGGAAGGCAAGACGGCCCCGCGGGTGTCCGGCCAGGAGCCACCGGCTCTGTCCTGCTCTGGCGGGGGCTGCAGCGCCGCAGGTGCGAGATGACACCTATTGGGAAGGAGTGGTTTGAAACATCTGCCAGAATATGTTTAAGAAATACGTTTAATGAAAAGAAGTTAAGACAAGGGGGAATTGCCTCAGACTGAAAGAGGGCAGGTTTTTGTTAGATACTAGGAATAAATTCTTCACTGTGAGGTAGCGAGGCGCTGAAACAGGTGGCCCAGAAAAGCTGTGGATACTGCRTCCCTGAAAGTGTTCAAGGCGGGCTTGGATGGGGCTCAGAGCAACCTGTTCTAGTGGAAACTGCCCCTGCCCATGGCAGAAGGGTTGGAACTTAGATGATCTTTAGGATCCCTWCCAACCCACACCATTCTGGGAATCTGCGAAGGTTTCGTAGGGTGTCACAAGACCATCAGCATGAATACAGCTGGGTTTTCCCATCCCTATGAGGATGTACAATGACTGTGGGTCCTCCTTTTTCTACTCTTTCCACCTCTTTCATCTAGATTTGTTGTTTTGTTGTTTATTTTTATATGTCACAGAAAGAAAAACAAACATCATTTGAGCCAAAACAACATTCCATGAGTTGTATCAAGCCAAGTGTGTGTTAATCAGGTAACTATGACCTGTGTGCCAGCTGGTCATTTGCCTGCGTGCAGGACACATGAAAGCAGAGCTCTGGGGGGGTGTGCGTTTGTATTCTCTGCTCTCTTGGCAGTGTTTTGCTGTGAAAAGCTCTGGAGATGTGACAGTCGGGTCGCCTGCTCTGGGGCTAAATGCGTGAGAAGTATTAGAAAAGAAAACCGCTTTCCTTTTTAGTTGGCAGGATCTAGCAAAGAACAGAGACTGTTGTGTTTAGCTGTGGTCATATGGGAGTTTGTGCTCTGAAGAACTTAAATGTAAGTTTTTATGACAAAGATTAAAAGAAAAAATGGAGCTGTTGTTCCTCTTTACAAACAGGACTCTTGGGCTCAGAGAAATGCGCTCAGAGAAATGCAGTGACAGCTTTAGCTTCCTGCAGTCTATCTGTGGCATATCCTGGCACTGAACCTTTAACCACTGCCTGTCTGCTGTACCACAGGATTATCTCTCACTTCAGTTGCCTCTGTTAGGCAGCATTGAGCCTTATTCCTGTTTCTGAGACCAGAAAAAAAAAAAAAAAAAAAAAAAAAAAAAAAAAAAAAAAAAAAGAAAAAAGCTGCTTTTCAAAACATGGCCTTGAATGCAGCATTTAAAAACTTGTGAAGTCTGAGAGTTGAGAAGGAAGGACTCTGCTGATTGCTTTTGATGTGGTATTTTTCCCCACTTTATCTCTGCTGCAGGACAGCTGCTCAGCACGAGCTGATTTGCCCTATATGACTGCTCTGTACTTCAGAGTGACTGTGGCTGACACAGACTGAACATATGCATCCAGTTCCAAAATCTGCCTGAGAAAATAGATTATATCCACTGTTTGCCTTTGATTAATGAGATAGGAAAAACAGATAACAATTAATCCTAAAGCTGTTAGAGTCCACATGTGATACACAACTGTTGTTAGAGCGATGTTGAAGACATTAGGCTCAAAAGCCTAATTGTGGCATTTGTGTAGATTCTTTGAGTGTACAGGCTACATCTAAATTTTCTAGTCCCTTATATATATATTTGTTTAGTGTAGATAAAATTACTTAATATTTTTAATAAAATTACGGTTTTGAGCTTCCACTTATATGTTTTTACACAAGCAGTAAAGTGTTTTGTTGGTCTGTCAACCACTCCTGATGAAACTAATTTGTGTACAATATCAAGAAATTGCAGTTGATTAATTTTTCTTTTTTTTATGATTGTACAGCATACAAGGGTTATAGCGAACAAAAWCTTAATTCATTTTTTGAGAACTGTGCCATCAGAGATTGTATATAAATTTAATGAAGAGTGAGAACATAATATAATAGGAGAGTTTTTAAATTTGACTTAGTGTATGACAAGAAATAATTCCTCCCATTTTTTTTTTTGTGGGTGGGAAGAGTAAACCTTATCAAACTTTCATTTTTTCTCTTTTTCAAAATTAAATGTAAACTTGCATGCATCAGGTTGCAGATAGGATTATTGTAGAGGAAAGAGGAAAAGTCTTTTTTCTGCATAATACAAATTTGCATATTTCCATACTTGATAATCAGTTACTGTGTTTTTAACGTTCTAGTTGAGCTGGAAGAATAAGTGATTTAAACTTAGAGAGAGGGTGAAGTCTGAGGGCTTGGAAGGTCCTTTGGCAACAGGAGTGTGAGATTGTTTCAGCTACAAGAGCAGCTTCGGATGCTGACAGATGTAAATTGCAAGAATCACAAAGGGGACTTAAAAACCAAAATACGTGAAATTCATGAGGAAGTAGCTGGGTAGTGGTAGAAGTTGAGGTTAGACTGAGGAAGATTTGTACATGTGAGACTCAGAACAAAGACTGGATTTTGTTTTATTAGGGAAAAGAAAAAACACCATTGACTAGTAAAATTACTGAAGTGGCAAAACAGCACATTTAGAACAGCAAATGAGACTTTAGCAGTGGATTCTTATAATATTTAGTTGACTGCAGATATAAAGTAGTAAATGGTGAAGGAAGGGGTAGGAGACTTATAGGATAGGAAATAGATGGTGTGTGAAAATATTGTGAAAGTGTCATGATGCACTGGGGTTATCTGTTAACTTGGTAAACATTTCCTGAAAAGAACACTTCATTCAAAAATAGTTTGGACACATCTATCATCTACTCCTAATGATTTCATGAAATACTTGTCATGACTGGTTGTAGACTTCAGAGGAGAGTGGAATTAATTTCAAAGTTCTAGCAAGCAGTAAGATTTTTCACAGTTTGGAACATCTTAACAACTGGTGCTAGTGTAGTTACTGGCAGTTTTTGTAATAGATAAAATATAAGCCAAATAAATAATCTTTATTCCTGTGGTCTTGTCCATGACAAGATTTAGTGGAATTGTATATTGACAGCTGGTGTTGCAGGGCCCAAAGTGTGTGTGCTGAATGCTCTTGCGTAACAGGTGAAATACTTGGAAAACTGAGACACAAGAGCTTTTCACAGCCATGGAGATATTAAACTAGAGCAACTTTTTTTTTTTTTTTTTTTTTTTTTTTTTCCTAATTTGGTTGATGTACACTGCAAGCTATGTGTGAAGCTGCCAAACAAATACTGTTTTCAATCCTTAGAAAATTAAAAATAAGGCACTATAGGATATATCACAAATTGCAGTTGGAGTACTTCACAGAATAATTGTGAGCATTTAGAAGCATTTCTAACTTCAATTGGCAGATTTCTGTTTCTTATTTCTCTAAGGAAGTTCTAACTCTGCTGAAGCTAAAGAAAATCTTCAATGTTCAGATCTTAAACAATCATAGAAAACTTTCCTGTCTATAGTAATCTAAAATTCTTGTCTTGGAAAACTGCAAGTATTTTTGATAGACTCTATACCATTCTGTTAATCAGACTTGCCCCTGGCAAAGCAAAATTCAAGAAGTGAAGGCTTCTTCTCTTTTCCATGTTTCGGAGTCATCCATGAGGAGAAGTAGTAGCTACTGCTGCAGAATGTTCTTGTCAAGGTTGTAGTGATGAGAAAAAATACTGGGTTTAATTAAATTTTAAAAATATTTTTACGTTTCTTACGGTCATGCTAGCTTTTTCTGAAGGTGCCAGTATATTATTACTGTGATGAACTCTGACTACATTGCTTTCCTTGGAGAAGGGAAACAGATATTAGTTTCTGCTATTCTTAGATATTGTCCCGTATATTTACAATATTGCTCACAAGCATGAAATTATTTTCTTATCCATAAAAGGAAACCTGGACATATTGTACTTTCTTTTTCTGTTTGCTCTTATCTTTTCAAATTCAGTTGCTACATGGATATTTTGCTTTGTCTATAAAAGCAGAAGTTCTTTCATTTGTACTTTCCCCGTTTCTTCCCAGATTATTCAAATTTTTTGGTTGTATAGCAAACGTAGCTCTAGCTGAATTGTTTCTCAATTGTATTTTTGTCTTGGGCTGTGGGGCATTAAGGAGTGGAGCACAAATGTTGGTTTGTTGATTTGGTCTTACAGCCCTGTCTGACACAGTGAGTATCCCATGCTCTTGGCACTGTTGGATTGAGGGTAGAGGTTGCAGGAAGATGAAGAAATACATCACATGAATTGTTCAGTGTCAGAGCCCTTAAGGCTTTTTCACTAGGCAGATGAGAAGAAATACTGCATTTGAAGTCAATTTTGACAAGCTTACTGCTGCAAGAAAAAGTGGTTTTCACATATTTAGTGGTTACCATGCATCCTTATATGTTAGCTTAACCTAAGAAATACACTTTTTGTTAAGAAAAGGTTTCTTCGAAGAATAGATTACATCCACTACAAGAGTTTAACTTTCTTTTTCTTTATGCAATACAATAACTGAGAATTTTTTCTTCTTTGTTCGCTAAATTGTGGCTTCCTGTTAACCTTTTGCTCTCTCCACACAAATTAATAGCATGTCTTTTGCTTTTGTCTTTCAGATTTCCTTA